GGGAAAAATGCCCTGCTCCCCCCAGCCTTGCACATCCTATCAAAGGTGCACTGAAGTGTGCAGGACAGCATTGGAGAGGACCAATTCTGAAATAACCCACAGCCCTGCAAGCTCCAGCCACCTGCACAGGCTGCAGCACTGTTCACATCAACTGCATCCTCCCTGTGGCTACCCCGGACCATGGCATCGGCTTCCTCCTTGTGCTGTAACCATACCTCACCCACATTTTTTCCAGAGATGAGCAGGGCCGCTTGTGTCGAGGCGTTTGCTCTTTAGACCAAGACCTAGCCATATTGTTTACTCAAACCCTAACAGACTGAATCCTCCGCCAAAAATCTAGGCCGCAACAAGAATTCAGATGCTCCAAACCTACTGCTGATCAGATAAAGATGACCATGTCTCTGTGGCCTTGCCCAGCTCTTGACCCCCAACAACACTTGGCAAGATCCAGTACCTCAAATCAAAGATAATCCCTTGCTGCTACAGCCTTCCTAGGACCATTCAGCCCGATTTTAGTGTACGTATTTAAAATCTGTCCTGTGCACTGCCCAAGTGCCCCTTCTCTCCTCTGCTCCCACCCCAGGGCTCAGTGTCCCTCACCGCAGCACCCAAGAGCCAGTCTCCCTGCAAGACCACGGCCCAAGACTCAACTCAGGAGTAGATCTGAGCTCAGATAGGCTTTCCTTCCCCATACTACTTCAGCAGTGGCTGAAACCTTGGGAAAACCAGCTCAGGAGAAGAAACTCCACAAGGAGAACAAGTCAAAGCTAGCCAGACCCTGGGTCTCCTTGCAATGGGAACCAGAGCTAGAAGAACTTGCAAGAAACCACTCATTAACGCCTGACAGTCATTTCTAATCAGTCTCAAGCCATCCCTGGCTCTCCATCTTTTGGGAAGGAACATCACCCCCCCAAATCCACCCACTTCACCGAGAAACTATGGGACAGGGGACAAAGCCCAGAGGAGCACCAGAGTGACCCAAAGCGAACAGCAAGCCAGGAGGTGCTGTGCTCCTGGGTAAGGCAGGGATGCTTTGCATTTATTTTAACTCATGCTTGGTGGAACATGACACCATCAAAGCTGCCTGCGTAGGTCCACACACTCCCTTATATATACACAGGCACTTCCGAGCCCTGGCACAGACTGTGCACCCCAGCCCCACTCAGGTTACAGCGTGCAGACAGCTGGGGTGTGCCGAGACACCTTCCCTCCGCCTGGCGGTTTGCACTGCCGCAGCTTTCTGTTGTGATGCATGGGAAGGAGTTCGGAAAAGCACACAGACCTGGACCTGCATCTAAACTCCTCCCAGGTCCAACCCTGGGATGCTGGCACTCGGCCGGGTCTCCCCTGCTGAAGGGGAAGCAGAGGTGGTCCTAGGAGAACCTCAGCAGCAGCTGAAGGGCATGGCAAACTGGCACCCAGTGGCTGCCTCCACAGTTGCCCCCAGCTCGTCATGGCACTGGCAGATCCCTGACCTAGTGACCATCATAGCATCAGGGACAGACTGAGGGCAGGGCACAGGGTCACAGCCAGGGCATGATCTGCATGCTCGCCATGTATTTTTAACACCACTTTGACTCACTGTGCTCTAAAAAGCACACAGATACTCCAAATGCTTTTTAGCTCTTCCACCAAACACCCCCAGAGCCCAAAATAGCCCCATTTACTCCCCTTTGCAAACAGGTCCCTGTTGCAGCCTCCCCACCAAAGGAGATCTGCGTTTCCAGCCCGTGGGAGGGACATGAGGGCCGGACAGAGGAGGGGGTGTAGAGCCAGAGCGGGGCAGCACATTTGTTTACAGGCACGGGCCCAGCGTGCAGAGAGGCTGCTGGAAGCAATCTTCGGCTCCGGGGTCGTCCCCGCTCCCAGCGAGCCTCCTGGCCCCTCCGCCTCTCCTTCAGCTCCAAAAAAGGATCACTGCCTGTTACATAATGGTATGAGAGACGCACAGATGCAGTCTTGCACATGCAGCCTCCCTTTTACTTAACAATACCTTTTTCGGTCATACAGCCTTCCTCTCCCCTGTTACTGTTACACTGACAGTCAGGGGAGATGGATAGTGCCTGGCTCCAACTATTTCAGCTACAGAGAGAGAGAGAAGAGTGTGATGGGATGCTCCATGCAGAGAACAGCAAACAGAGCAGGATAGGGAGGTCCCATGATCAGCAACAGTGTGGTTACAGCAATCAGTTGATGTCACTGCAGAGGATGCTGTGGGCACCACAAGCACAAGGGAGAAGGTCCCCAAAGAAGAGAGGGATTGTCTCTCCAGAGAAGCTGAACTTTGTTCTTGGTGTTTTTGTTTGATTCTTCTGCTCTGGCAGAAGGCACTCGGTGCAGAGCGGTAGCAAAGCCCACAAAGACAGCTACAAAGAGGCTGCAGGAGCAGCACGCTCCTCATCAAATAGAAGATGGCAGAGGAGTATGCATCCAGCAGCAACCCCCTTCCTAACACGCAAACCACTGCTAGGGCACCTCATTTCCACCATCCACCACCAAACCCAGCCACTGACAGGAACAGAGTAGGACCTCATCTCGTGGAAGAAAGATTCCTAGTCATACTTTGTGACCAGCAACAGTTAGAGGCAGGATATGTGCCCACCTGCTGCCCCATGTTTGTCCACCTGTTCTCAGAGGCGGGAGCAATGATGCCTTGAATAACACACACTCCCAGAAGAGCTTCTGGCATTTTTTCCACCTGTAAATGGTACCCAAAGCCAGTGCCAGGCAGAATGCCAGTGCCAGGGCTGTGCCAGGTCTGGCTAAGCAGTGATCAAGTTACAATTACTTAAATGGAAGAGAAATGCCACCAAATCCACACTGTGTCCCTGGATAGGCAGCTGGCAGCAGGTCTGAAGCTAAAGAATTCTTGATCTGCTCAGGATAGCAGTGGCCACCTAGGCCAGCAATGAATACAAGTCTCAGCCACCATTCTGCATGGCTCAGGGACAGGGTGCAATGGCAAACCAGCATGGAGCCCCCCGATTCCCAATTCTCCCCCACTGTAGAGGTAACTACAAGTCTCATCTGGGGTGTCCGTCTCTGGCATTATCTGAACTCTGCTCTCAAACCAGGTAACAGCTGTCACAACAAGCAGACACTGACTGCTCTCAGGGCAGTTGCTGCACGCATTGCAGTAACCTGCTGAGCCTCAGCCCTCCAGATGGGCTTCCAGGATCACTAAAACCCTGCCACCCTTGATTCAAGGCAGGAGAACCTCCAGCCTAACACTCCTCCCGTTCAGGAGACTGAAGTGTTGTCCCAAGCACGACATTCTGGGTTGGGCTGGCAATGGCAGCAGCAGAAACAGGGGACAAAAACGTTCCCTGCAGCAGTCCATGAGCAACACCATCCTCCTGGCAACAGGTCAGTTCACACTACGCAACTCCTTCCCCTGTCCCCTTCACACCAGACCTGTGGACCCCTGACTGTCAAAGAACAACAGCAGAGTCAGTGTGGATTTCTGCACAGACATGTATAGAACCAGGGACACAGGGTCAAGCTCAAAAGGTTGTATTTGCACCCTGTCCTGATCACGACACCAAGGAGTCACAGGATTTCCAACATCATCTCCAGCCAAAGGTTTGCCTGCAGCACATGTTGGCTTCACCCAGACCCATTGAAGCAGAGCAGCTACAAACACATTCACCCTCACGCTGCTCCACTAGCACAACTCATGGAGCTCCTCCACCTTCCAGAGAAAGGCATGTGCTGTGTGTATGACAGCTTCTCTAGTGGAAAATACCAATGCCACGTGTTCGTGCTGCAGGCTGCCCGGGTGACTGGGACACAGCTTATTAGGAGGTGATGACGTGCCTATTCAAGCTCTCATACCTCTGTGCTTACACACAAGGATTGGGTATCAGCTCATTCCCCAAGAGACCAGAATCCATTTTGGAGAAGTGGGAGCAACACCCACCTCCTCCCACCCAAGGAAACAGACTCTGGAGTGATGGCCAGCAGCCCCTGACCTCAAAGCGCTTCACCAACCTCTGCTGAGGGCAGCTTAAATTACCAGCTTAGTTATCATGTGCTGCCCTGCACATTCTGACACTGGCTTTGAATGCCTGTCAGAGAAGAAAGGGCATAGGATTGAGAAAAGCAGTGCTCCAAGGCTCCCCCTAGCCGAAGACACAGAATGGTTTGGGTTGGAAGGGACCTTAAAGATCATCTCATCCCCCCCCCCCTGCCACAGGCAGGGACACCTTCCACTAGACCAGGTTGCCCAAAGCCCCGTCCAACCTGGCCTTGAACATCCCCAGGGATCAGGCAAGTCCTTCCGGGAAGGCTCGCCTTTTACTCCAAAGGACCACATCCTCAGCTAGTGATAGTCACCGACCTACACAAGAAAACAGAAATGCTCTCTGTTTGTATGTCTTGGTCTGGTGCCTTACCGCGCAGATGCACTGGCTTCAGAAACGCTTGGCAAGTACATACCAGCTGGAAAGGAAGTCTTTCCCTAATACATCTGTAGGTCACTGCCCAAGGCACAGGCACTACTGGGCCACTGCAGATCAGAGAGGGGTGCATCTGTGAAAGCAAAGGCCCTGGGAAGCCACACTTTGAGCTGTTACTTGACAAATCGCTGTTCCCTGTGCTTGTTTATTCTCCTTTTACAGAAAGAACAAGCTGAGCCCCTGGACAGGGAGAGACCAGGAGGCCAGCAGAGGCAAGTCTGTCCCTGGCAATTGAAGAAGCTAGGCACCCTTGCCCTTTCTTGAGGCAAGAAGCCTCCCATTCCCAGGGCTGAATCCTTCCTTTCCCCTGTTGTTAAAGGGCAGGATGCTGCCCGCTAGAGTTACATTGCAGACCACAGGGAAAACAGCTCCTAGTGCAAATTGACAAGATGTTTACTGTATACACATGCAATATCTTCTTTACAGAACCTTTTGATGCAACAGAAAGCATTTATCTGCACTCAAGACAAGGGCTCCGTTTGAGACTAACTCCAAAGGCAATGCCACCTCACAGAGCTGTGAAGTTGGTCACTTAGGCCTTACCTTTGAATAAGAGTCCCGAAGAGGAGGTGGAAGACCTTCTGGATGTTCTCCGTGCACAGCCAGCTCCAGTGATCCATCAGCAGCAGACGAAGCACGTCCAGGGCCAAGTCAGCCAAAGCCGTCTCAGAGTCTGCCAGGAAGAAGAGGAGGGTCAGACAAAGAAGTCAATTCAGTGCCTCAGCAAACCTGGTGGAAAGCATCATCCAAAACTCATTCTGTTCCTCAACAGCCTGCCTAATGCTCTTCTCACCAGCCTAGCGCCTTGTGCCACATGAGATGACCTGCTGCGGCACAGCCAGCCTGGAGAGCCTGCCCTCCCAGGCTCCTGCCCCCATCACTCTCTCTCATAGCCACTTTCACCCTAGCAGCCCCAGCCCCCCTATCAAGGGGTGCACGAGACCAGATTGTGGCTGCTCCGAGTTCTCAGTTCCTTCTCAGTTAAGCCGAGGGATTACCAAACTCCAGTCCATGCATGCTGATAGCAGCGTGCACAAAAAAGGTGTGGAAGAAGGCAGTGACTGTACCCAGGAGAAAGGTATACTGCTGAGGACTATTTTCCTGGTCTTCACCAACACTTTCCCTTCTTCCAAGGTGCAGTTTTCCAGGCGCAAGACTCCTGTCGGTGTCTGCAGGCTGCCATCGTGTGGCAGGGCCAAGGCCCCGCAGGGTGGATAAACCAGATGCATCAGTTTAAACAAAAATCCCCACACATGCCCACGCATCCCTGGTGACACAGACCTGGGACAGCAACGCCTCTCTGTGATCCTCAGGAGGATGTCAAAGCCTACAGCGTAAACTTGCTACAGAATTACTTTTATGCTGCTTGGCCCCAAAGTATCATAGGTGTTATGCAGAACAAGCTCATAAATGTACCACAAACCTGCCTGAGACAACCACTCCTATGCCAGCGCACCAACCTGAGGCTACTGCGTCAGCTCTCTTGGCAGAGTGAGCTCCTGGACAGCAGCTTGCCCTGCTCTGACCTTCCTCAATGCCTGATCTTTCAACCACGGTCTGCCAACAGAGCCAACAAGACTGTTCAGACACGAAATACTGCTGGAGATAAACAGGAGAGGGATTATGGACCTCAGCACATCTCCTTCCCTCCTCTTCCCCTCCCCGCTGCATATGAGCTGAATGAATTAACTCCAGGCCATTTCACTTGGGAAAGACAAGGCATGAGTGCATTTGGCACCTCTTGCTCTGGGCCACGCACAAGTTACCCCTCGCTTGCTTTGCCCTTTGAGACTCGACTTCGCTGTGCAAAAACTGGAGCAGGCTGTTTAGCTTCACCATAACCCCATACAAAAAGCATCACCAGCAAGCTCTATTTATTCCCATAGCATCCAAGTCCCCTTCCTCAGAAGGCTGCTGGCCAACCTCTTCCGAGAAGTCACCGAGTGAGCAGATACGGACACTGGTTGCCTTTACAGCCAGCCGCTTCCCAGACATTCATTCCCCTTACCCTGCCAGACCAGCCTGCCCTGTCTCAGCTCTGAAGCATCACAGACCTGCAGGCATTTGACATCATTTACATAAAATTTCTTTAAGAGTTCAGCTAACTTGGCCTGCCTGTATCTCTCGTGCTTCGCGCAGAGCACTGGCCTCCGACTCCAGTACTGCTCCCCAGCAGCCCCAAAAACAACTGCGGGCCTGTGTTCAAAGATTATAGGCAAAGCTGGTAGCACAGGCTATGTTTCAGAATACCAGACCCATCCTGTCACAAGCACATGCTTTCAGTTAGAGCTTGCCAAACTTGAACCACTGGAGTGAAATTTTTGGAAAGTTCCAGCTGATACAGCTCAACTTTTCCAAGAAAAAGATTAGAGAACATTTTTGCTTGCATTCAGGATAATCGTGTAACTGCTCTGAGAAGCTGTAGCACGCCTGCGCTTCAGAGGAGGGATCATAGATCAGGAAGGGAACATCATTCCTTGAACTGGCATTACATATTTGCTATACCCTCCAAATCTATCCAAACTGAACCTCAAAAACCCCTTTTATAGCGCACAGATATATCAAGGCTAACTTGAGATTACAAAGAAACTGTAATTTGGCCATTATTCAGATTTTAAGAGCTTGATCTTAGAACATTGGCAGTTTAAGCAGCGTGTCCTTAAGAAACTTATTTCTGCAGTAACTGTACCGCGTACACCAAGGTGAAGATCTACAGTGACACAATTGAGCTAAGACCAAGTTTGCTTCCAATAGCAATAAAGACCAGAGCAATCACCTAACAGGACTGGAAAAACTCAGTTTGCCTTCCCTTTAACCAACACACAGGAGACTAGGTCCTGATATTGAAGACCCCGCAGATATTGGAGCTGTTGCAGCACCAAGGGAGATACAGCGAAGCACTAACAGAGGGGCTGAGCTCACCAGAGTCTGTGTCCGCATGTGCCCCCTGCTCCGATGTGTCCAGCCCGTCCATATCCTGCTGCATGGAGCTTTCCTTAGTTTCTCTGCCTCCCTCGCCTTCAGCAGTTTTGCTGGGGACTGCCTCCAGCAGTTTCTCCTGCTTCTGGATGAAGGACTCCATAGCAGCCAACGACAGGGTGCCAGAGACCTACGAAAGCACTGGTGTATTAGTACCACAGCAGTGAGCTGCACACAGCCAGAGTTGAACAGATACACGATATCACTACCCAGACAGCCTCCCACCACCTTGCTGTAGCCCAAAGCACAACTAGGGCTGCTTATTGCCTTTCTACAAAGGCCTGGCATGCAGGAACAAGGCTGCAGCAGCCAAAACCCCCATGCACCTGGATCATGCCAAGCCCAAGCAGGGAAGTGATTAGGATCATGTAAGGACTGCAAGAGGGATCTGAACTTACAGCGGTGCCCTCCCTGACAGAGTACACGATCCTGTCATGTGCTTCACTCGCACTCAGCACTGGAGCAATTTTACTGGATGAGAACCTCAGCCTGGACCTGAGGAGGAGAGACACGGCACAGTCAGGGTTTTCTCTGCAAGCTGTAAGCGACGAGTTTCCCAGCCTCAGCCAAGAACCTGAACCAGCTACCTTTGTCCAGCGTCATGTCCCAGTTAAGAAGTCTGATTAGACCTACAGTGGTTCAAAAAAGCATCTGCCACCAAGGTAATTGAGAGGCTGCAGTAAAACCATGGAACAAAAGCATTAAAGCGCTTTTCCTCAACTACATATGGGCTTAACCAAGGCTTTCCAACACCCACTCCGTACATACACACCCCCCTTCTTCGGCAGGTATGCTACATATAAGCTTAGATGCAGATGTAGGGATTTCTGTTCAGCAAGGCTTGAGCAGCGTACACAGGAAAGTGTTCAGAAAAGCCTCTGAGATGAGACATACTCTGAAGGATTGTGAAATCCAATTATAAACACGTACACACAGAAAGGAGGATATGAAAGGGCATTTGGGATTGTGGGACAAATTGTAAAATAGCCTGTTTATCATTAAGGAATGTCCTTTTCAGCCAAGACTCTTCCAAACTTGTACTTTTTTGGTTTGTCTTTTCATCCAAAGCAGCTTTTTCTACCAAAACACCACTTTTATGGAAAAAAAGCCATACTCGTGCAGAGACCTTCTCTCCTTCTGTAAGGGAAGACTCACTGATGAACACAGTGGGGCACATCACTAGCAGCAACACCAAATAAACACTTGGTGAGCAACATACATGCAATTACCTTAAATACTACTCCTTAATTAATATGCAAACAATTGCTGGGCAAGGTGACATATCACTGTGTTAAAAACACAGGAGAGGGAGCAAACCTTCAGGTAGACAAATTATAGCTGTATTTTGCAGTGACTCACCACGTATATAGGCCATGCACATCTTTAAGCTCAAAAAGCAGTTTTCTAGAAGCATCAACATCCTTGCCAGCAAATGCCACCACCTCACAGCTTCCTTGGGAAGACACCTATCTTCTGAGAAAATCTGAGGGTTCCTGGAAAATCCTTTACCCAAACAGGAACTCAAATACCATTACTCAGCAAGTGAAAGACACAGCAGTTTAGGTAGAGTACGACAGCAATGTACTATCCGCAACACAAAGCGCCATGTCAGTACTTCCCAACAATGGAGTCAGTTTATATATGAAGTCCATGTTCTGCATAAAGCATAGGGGAAGCTGCAGAAGCCCTTACTTGTTAGCCTTCTTCCCGTCTGTCTGAGATTTCCCATCCACTTCAGACTCGCTAAGATCCTCCGTGGGGCTCTGGGGCTCTGACCTGGGGAATGCTGTCTTCAGGGTGTCCACAATGGCATTGACAACAATCTGCAAAAGCCAGCAGTGCCATCAATTATTGAATATATTCCTATTCCTTGAATACACATTAAGAATTTTCAGACTTGCACTCTATTTTCTATTAAAAATCCCAGGTTCTTTGAGATGGGCTATGACTCTTCCTAGCTTTCCAGGCAAGCTGAGCCCAGCTACACAGACAGCATTTGAGTATTTTGGCTGCTGCTGCAGCAGCTATATATATCTAGACATTGAAGCCCAAGAGGCATATCTCGATGCAGTTTAAGTGGTTCAGATAACCTGTTTCCCACTTCTCTACCTTGTCTATCCTGGAGACAACAAAGGGCTTCTTGACAAACGCAATCCTTGCATCAGTGTTCAGGGCGAGGAACTCCTGCACCTCCTCACTGTTTGCAATCTCAGGAACCGCACACAATTGCTGCAAGGAAAGATGTAGCTTTAGGTCTTTGACTCAGCTTCCCAGCTCGATCATGTAAAGCACAGGTAGAAGAGATCTGATGGGCTCCATTGTCTGTCAGCAGAGAGCTCTCCCAATCACTGATTTCTAGCTCACAGAGGCATGCAAGCATCTCACCTTCAAGAAAGATTCTAGGAGACTTTTTCTGGCTTCCACTTTATCGCTGTCCATGTTTCCAAATGGGAGATCAGGGAACAGTTTCTTGGGGCCTTTGATATCTACAAAGGAAATAAACCCATTAGCAAGCTCAAGAAAACAGGAACAGTTATTTTAAAATCTTAATGCCCTCATGGTTTAGACTACCACTACACACTGCCTAGCATCAGCCCAAGATAATAGGCCCCTCAAACCAGCGTGGCTGAATCAGACCTTAAATGCATACAGAACTTGCATTCCGCTGATACCGTATCATCAAAGCAGCAACAAAACCAGTTTAGCACAAAGACTCTAGGTCACTCAGAGGGCCCAGAAATTCTCAACAAAGCAGTTTTTCAATCAAAACCTCAGCTCTGTCAAAACCAAAGAATTATGTAGGAACGTGCTAAATTCAATGAAGTTACATACATCAGTAGCATTAGAAGAAACATTTTTTTCTTTTCAAAAGAGCTTACATTCACCACATATTACTCTACTTATATGCAAACAAGATACTTGCTGATACCAGTGTTCCTATTCATTGCTAAGGTGCAAAACTACAAACCCAAGTATTGTGATCTGAACAGCAACAAGGATGCTTTGAAACACTGGAATTCATTGCCAAAAGAAATAAGCTTCTCCTCCAGCCAGCTCTGCACAGAATAAGGACATTGGCATTACAAACAGCCCGGCAACCAGAGCTGGACAGGCAGGACAGGATAGCCTTAGAGCAGAGGAGCATCGACTGGGGTGAGAGGGAGAAGGATTTTCTCGGGAAGCTAATGCACGCACTGACTTTTCAGGAACTTGCGGAGCTCTGGTTTCTCCTCCAGTCTGGTCTGGAGGTTGAGGAACTCCCGATAACGGCGGTTCACAGTGTGGTAAGCCATTTGCTGAAGGCTGCCCGTGCTCTCACCCTCCAGGGCTGTCTCATACTGAGGAGGAAACAACAATCAGTAATCCTTACAGACCACAAAACCACTCTGATATGCTGCAGTTTCTGTTGGTCCCACAGTCCCCAAAGCCCACAGAGGTCCCATCCAGCAATTCCTCAGATCGACCCTTCCTGAGGGGCTGCACAGCATGCAAATTCCTCATGATAAAGGGAGTGCTGAAAACAGAATACAAAAGACTCAACCAGCCCCACGCAACCCTCAGCCATGAGTAGGGAGCCCTATCCTGCACCCAAACGACTGCTAGAAAAGGCACTGAGCCAAATATTCCCCCCACTACCAGATAAAATTTGTTGTAAAGCCATACACAGTACAATTGCTCATCTCCAAACGGCAGCCCATGCTCCCCTGCCAGGGCAGGGATCCTGGAAAAGGGGTGACTGCCGGGGCAGCCTTTACCTTGACAGTGTACAGGGTGTAGGGGTGGAAGCCAGTCCCACTGTGCTCTCGGGCAGTGATGGTCCCCGTTATCCGCAGATTCTGGATGACGACTGGCCCATCGGGGCTGCTGAGCGGCTCAAAGCTGAAGGTGCTGACGGAAGCCGTTGGGGAGGATGAGATCAGGGGCAGAGTTTGGCCTGGGTCTGGGGGGCTTTGTGGTGGGCCCTCTGCTGCCCCCAGATCTTTCCCCAAGCTGGAGGGCCTCTGCAAAGAAGACTTCTTGAGGACAGCTGGGCTTTCTCCTTCCTTCTCAATTGCTGGGTCAATCTGGATATCAGGGCAGGAACTCAGAGCAAAAGCAGAGGTGGGAAGGGGGCCAGCATCAGAACTGGTGGCAATACCCTCCTCCAGGTCCCCCACACCATATTCTAGCACAGTGGCGATGTCCTGGGGAGGTTCATCGAGGAACTCCCCTGCAGGTGACGGTGCCAGCAGGTCTGTGTCCTGGCCCGCATCAGGCGCAGGGGACTCCAGCTCCAAACCCTCGCAAGGGAAGAGGGAGCCCAGGGCTCGCGGGCGGAGAAAAGGCTCCTCTGTGCGGCACAGCCCACTTGCAGGGTCCTCTCCCTCCTCACCTGCAGCCCCGGCCTCTCGCCCAGACACCTCCATGGCCCTCGGAGAGGGGGGCAGCCCAGCAGGGGCAGCATCCGTCTGCACCATGAAGGGCAAGAAATCAGGCACTGGGGGTGCAGGGGGTGGCTCCTCACCCTTGGGCTTCTTGGAGAATGCCCCAATGAGCAGCAGGTTGATCCAGTCAGGATCAGCCATCTTCCTGATGGCTGGCAGAAGCACATTACAGGCGACCAGCTCCACCACCACAAAGCGTCCTGTCCGTGTCTCCAGATGGGGCCAGGGCACCAGTGCCCGTAGCAGCGTCTCCACAGCAGCCCTGGCATAGCCCACCTCAGCCGCCGGGCTGTGGAGGGCAGGGTGCGGCCCAGCCAGCCGGCTGTACTCCTGCCACAGGGTTCGGCCACCCTCCGGATCACCCCTCAGGGCCTCACAGGCCTGCAGGTAGCTCTGCAAGTGATGGCCGCACAGGAGGAGAAGGCGGCGAGCCAGGACTTGGCGGTCCACTCGCCCCATCCGCCGCCTCAGCTCAGTGGCCAGGCCCATCATGGCCTTCTCCACCTCAGCCTCAAAGGCTGGCTCACTGCTGACAGTGCGGTACCAGGAAGCGACAAAGTCCCGCACCACTTTGCGGATGGTGCTGGCGATCTCCCTCTCCAGCCTCCCCTCAGCCGTTGGGCAGTGAGGCAGAGGCTGCAGGGAGCTGACAAAGCGTTCCAGCCGCAGCCGCCGGCCAGATGGGCTGAGGGCACGGGGGCCCAGCCAGCCACCCAGTGCCACCAGCACCCCACAGAGCAGCCCCAGAGCCCGCAGATCAATCAGCAGCTGTAGGGCCAGCAGCCAGCCCAGTGTGGCCACCAGTACCACCAGCACCTGATGGCCCCTTGACAGCCTCTGGCCTGGCATGGTGGAGCCGGGCAAGGAGAGCAGCCCTGGGGCTCTGCTGGTTGCTGCCTCAACAGGTACCACAGAACAAGCGGGTTTGCAAAGGCTCAACCAAGCTCGTTCCTCATCAATTACTGGGCCTTGTCAGGGCTCAACCAAACAGTGTCTTTAACAGAAACTAGGGCTCAACCCACTGAGCTCCTCAACAGGCACTAGGGCTCACCAGAGTCCAACAAATGGAGCATCTTTACTAGGCACCAGCACTCAACCAAGCACTCCCCTCATGAGGCACTGGGCCCAACCAACCAAGGGCTTTCACTGCACACCAGGGCTCAACTGTCCAGGACCCTCACCAGGCACTACGGTTCACCAGGGCCCACCCAACCAGGCTCCTTCACTGAGCACCAGGGCCTAACTAACCGGGCTCATCAAAGCCCAACCTGTCTGGAGCCTTCACTGGGCACCAGGGCGCAACAGACCAGGCCCCTCATGGGGCACTAAGGGTCACCCAAGCCCAACCAACCAGACCCATGACTGAGGCTCTCCCAGACCCAACTGATCAGGGCCTTCACCGAGCACCAGGGCCCACCAGAGCCCAACCAGCCAGGGGCCTTCACCGAGCACCAGGACTGAACACAGCAAGCTCCTCACCAAGCACTAAGACACATCCGAGCCGAACCCACCGGGAGCCTTCACTAGACACCGGGGTGGAACCGACCGGGCTTCTCACCGAACATTAAGAGTCGTTAAAGGCCAACCGATTAGAGGCCTTCACCGCACACCGGTGCCCAACCCACACAACTCCTCACTACAGTCGCTCTAAGCGGCCACCACCCCCGGGCTTAATAACCGGCACCGCCCGCCACTTCCGGCGCCACTTCCGGTACCGCCCCCCCCGCCGGGGAGAGCGGTACCCCCCACCCCCGACTGCCGACAGCGCCCCCTTGCGGGCGGGAGGACCGGCGGCAAAAAAGTTTCCTGCTCCGCGCGAAAAAAGTTTTCTCCGCGCATGTGGCGTTGTTTTTTTTGGCTTACATTGGGAAAAACGTGTAGCCCTGCGCTGGGTTTGTCTCGGAGGTGGTAAGAGCGGTAAGGTTTTATAGTGGTGCGCCATTTAATTTATTTTTTTTAATGTTTTTTTGCAGGCATTAAAAGAAGAAACATCAAGTTTGTTAGACACGAGGTCATAAGAGAGAAAACTGTTGTTTTTTTCTACTGCGGTTTGGTTTATTTTGAATAAGGCAGGCGGTGGTGCAAACAGGTGGGTCTGCTGCATTTCAGGTAGGTGCTGAGCGTCATGGAAAACACCTGGGCATCGTTAGCCTCATTAAGTATGGCCCCAAAAACAAAAGAAAAAAAAAGAAAAACAGAGGTTGGGGTCAAACAGAGATGGGGCGGAAGGCCCAGCGCCTGCAGCTGGTGCTTAATTGCTGATTCTGCTCACCTGTGATGGGGTGTGGGCACAAAAGGGGCTGGGGAGCAGCAGGTTATTGTTGGGTCTCCGTGGATGAGGAGAGTTCTTCTTTGTGGCTGTGGTGTTGTGCTCAGAGGACTTTGGACTGAAATGCTTTTTGAATATAAAAAATGTACCTGGACTTTTATCTTTTGTGACTAAGGAGCTGTAGATGCACCAGGAAGTCTCATTTTCTTTCTGAGAGCAGTTTCTTGAAGACATCTGCAGAGCTGCTGAAGGCATCTCAAGCAAGAGAAGTTATGGGCTGGCAGCAGGGATGAACCCTCTTTGCAAAAAGGTCAGAGTCATTTTAAAAATTTTTTTGAAGCTATGTTGGGGAGCAGTCTCTACTCTATTATCTCTTACTTTGCTGGCCAAATCCAGCTTCTCGCAGCCACACTTCAAACCCCAGACTTGTTTCTTCCAAGGAATGATATTTGTGTTCTGTGGTTCAATATTGAAGGGTTGTTTGGGCCTGAAAAACTTCTTGTCTGTATTGTACAAAACCTTTTGGACTTTTTCTGTTTTGCCTTTGTTACAGCTTGTATGTATGTGTGTGAAAAGCTAAAAAACCCCATATAATTAGGAGGAAGGGATGCTCCTGTATGTGGGAACTGGTGTGGACTGGGATTTGGGTGCTGGAGATGGTTAGGGGGGAGAGCATGGGGTGAAACTGTTTCTCCTGGCTGGAGAAATTTGCAACATTGTAAAAATTACTTAAGCTATGTTAGTTTTGAGAATGTCTCAAAATGTTCCCCTCCCACCCCCCCTCAAAAAAAAAAAGCAGGAATAGCTTGATTAGGTGGATGGGGAAGGCAATTCCATCCTTAATTGTTCTTTATAGCAAAACTGGGGCTGCCCCCCGTATTGCTGTGCTGTTTACAGGGTGAGTATTTTAGGAGGGCAGCATTGCAGCGCTTCAGCAGTTGAGTATGCCTACATTTCTGCAAATAAATGGATTTGTTCTTTAAAGTAGGAGACAAGAGATGAAGTTTAAAAGATGTAGACACTTGATCCTTCTTCTAGGGGCTTGGAAGAGGGGAGTGTGAAGCTGTTGGGATGATTTTCATGACGTGAGCTGTGAAGCATCTCCAGTACAGCCCTGGCACGCTGGTTATAAGGTTCTTTAGGTGCCTGCAGTGAGTTTTGCTGTTTTGCAAGTCATTGCAGAGCCTTCTCCTCACTGTATCCCTTCTTGTCCAGGTATTAGAGCAGGCTGGCTCCTTATATTTGATCTTGTGGGTGTTTTTCTTCTCGTTTCCTGCCTCTCTGGGAAGCAGGGTTATTAATATGGAGACAGTCTGTACAGCGTCTGGAACAAAAAGACCATGGTGGGACCCTCGTTGCTATAGAAATGTTGTGATTTGGAAGGTCCTTTGCCTCCTACGTGAGGTTTTAAGTGAACAAACAAGTGCGGTGTTGCTTTTCTGCAACGCTCAGCTGGCTTTGAGCTAGGCTTTGCACTCGCTGTCTCGTGATGTTGTTTTTAAGGGGCTCTTGGGCACTGGAAGCTGTTCCTCAAGTAAATATCCTGAAGTTGGGAGTGTTAGCGCTGGGGATGGTAGCTCTGATCTACAAGGTTCATTGAGCAGTGCAGGTCTCCACCTACCAGGGAGCTCAAGGAGATAAAAGAGCTGTTGTCATGCCACGATGCTTGAGGGTTGGCCAACTCCTCCCAGTACCACTTCTGGACTGTAGAGGCTGAAGACGTCCCTCTGCATCGCTTGTACCTCCTGAGAGGGTCTGTGCTGAGAGATGGGCTTGTGGGAATCCATCAGGACAACAACCCATCAGGAGACAGAAGAGTCTCGTTGTAGCCCGTCCTGACCCTGGGGGCATTTTGAGGTGTGACCAAGTTGTCTGCATTTGTGATGAATCTTTCATTGGAGACCTGGGGAGGGACAAGCTGAGTGGTCCTGAGGCAGTTGAGGTGTAGAATTCCCTCTTAAAGGATTTCTGGTGCCCTGTGGTTTGATGAGCACAGATCACCATTGCATCCGAGCTTGTCGGCGGGACCGTGGCTTGGAGACCTTGCAGATGCAGATCATACTTTATCCTAAATATCCCTACTGAAACCCTCCACCCAGGCTTTGCCCCGCTGGGAGGCAACATCATGCCCGAATCCTGCGCTGGGGTTGATTAACACAGTCCTAGCTCATAAATCTGAGAAAGTGGATTTGGGGAAGAACTTTCCTGCCTCCAGTAAAACTTGCCTTTAAATTATTTAACAAGCTTCTTAAGCAACTCAGCCATTTTGCATGGAATTTGTCAAGGCTCCATCAGCTCTACACAGTGCGATGTGACAGCCATACTTTTATTATGAGCAGCGTATTAATCTTGGAATAGTGCTATTTGTTTTCCTCTCTTGCTTTTATGGTGCTTAAAAGCATGTATCTTCTCCTGAAAATCAATAACTAAAGCTATGAATAATAAAAAACACTGCAGTGAATGGCTCATAGAGATCCTATGGATGTAAGTTGCAGCTGTAATGACTCTGTTTGCTATCCATTAAGTATGTGAACTCAGAAGAATTATGCAGATTATAATAGCTGTATCAACATAAGTATGTTTTGCTGATAGACTTTCCTGATTGGATCCACGGGATATAAGCCTGCTAATCCCCTGTGCAGAGGACCTGATTATATTAGAGTGCTTTGCCGATCTGCAGATAGAAAGTTAAGAAACAATTAAAAATAAAATAAAATATTGGCCGGTGGAGGTGTGTGTGTGTGTGTTCTCAAAAGCATTCGGGTTGCTGCTGTATTGGGGTTTTTCTGGAGGGAAATGTGGGGGGGAGTTCCGCATCTTTATTGGAAACCCAACTCCAAACGCCGGTAAAAATGCAGACGGGGATGGTTTATGTACAAGAAGTGAAATTTGCCCCGCGCTGAGCCTGAAATGGCACAGCCGCTCCGCCTGAGGTTTGAGCAGCGATTTGGCGCTGGGAGGGGGACCTCAATCAGGGCACGTGTGGTGTAACCTTAATAATTGCTTGCTTAAGTGGCCAACTACCCTCGTGCACGCTGCCGGCATGTGTAGCTGCTAATTGCACGTGGATGTTAGATGTATGCCTATGGACCCTTTTTTGTGCCCCTCCTCGCCCACAGCCTTCCAGTGGTTCGTTGGCTGAAGCTGATGATGGAGTTGTGATGGGGGGCAAAGAAAAAACAACCCACCACCCTGTAATTAAAAAAAAAAAAATTAAAAAAAATCAGCTTGCTGTGCACTTGACACAAGGTTAAACGCCATGCAATTTTGTGTGTAGGATTTTGCACGCAAGGTCTGCTTATTAATATCCCCTCGCTGATGTAGTGTGTCACCTCTTTGGATGACAGTATGCTCTACAAACTCTGCTCCACTCTTTTTTTTTTTTTTCCCCTTTTTTTTCCATGATGCTTCAGCTTTCTTAAAATTGGGGAAACTGAGGCAGTGCCACAGGGAAGTGATACATCCTGCTCGTGTGGCTTGTCTTTCCTAAGCTCTGCTGCTTCCCTGTATCATATAAACCACATGAAGCGTTTCCATGGTATATAAGGGCTGCGCAGCTGTGTGTGACATATCGAAGTCC